GGCCTCTGCGTAATATAACCCGACGCGCACGACGTACACTCGCCGGCCAGACGGAATATCGCGCATGCGCTGCTCTCATGGACCGCTCTATCAGCACGAGCTTCCCTCGGATTAATACTCATCTGTGTAATTATTTGCAGTTCTAAAGTACACCAGAAGACGGTTAAATAACAAGCCTTTTTTTAGATTTAATTATTCGTTTTAGTACGTTTGCTGAACTTACTAATTATTTCGCAGAGAGGGGGAGGTTTACCAGGGAATAATATTTCATTTAAAATAAGATTTATTACATTGCTTTTTTCATCTCTTGGCCTGGATAGCGTATTTCAAGTAAATACGAATATCACGAGTGCTGACCGTGTGTCCTCGATATCTCACTAATGAATTTCTCGCATTTGAACGCACATCAATGTTGTGGGTCATTCTCATTATGAATCAAAGTTCTAAAGTGTGATAGCAATGGATTCAATTGTATTGATTCTCATGTGCGTATGGTTTATGTGCTTGTAATTGTTATATACCATCATGTTTAAGATCATCAACAATTAAATTATTTCCATAAATGTTATGACCCATGTGTCGATTATCGAATAATTTGGATCAGTAGAAATACGAAATATTTGTATAATAGGGGTGATTTTGGTTATGCAGCCGTTTTTAGGTTATTCATTGTTTTCACCTTCAATTTAACCAAGCCACTCAATATTAGCTGTTAATTAAGTAACAGGAGTTTCGTTTTAAAAAAAAATAGTTTTTTACATTGCTTTAGGAGCAACGACATTTATTTTTACGCCCCTGTAACACGAAGCAAATGTACAATTTTACACGTTGTATGCAGCTTATTTGGTTTATTACATAAAGGTATATAACTAAACAGTTAAATACAAAGAAACGTAAAAGCTAAAATCCTCATAACATGACATGTCATGGTATACTTTACTCGTTTTTTTTAAACTGAAACAAGTTTTTCAAAATGTCACCTACTAAATTACTTTGAGAAATTTCTGTAGTTTAACTTACTTTCAAAGCCAGTTTTCCTCGCTATTATAAGAAAAATTGTTACAATTAGGAAAACTGAACTAATAATAACAAATATGATTCAAAACAAAAAAATGTTTGTGATATTAACTAGTGGGTTATTTACATTCGTAAAACCGCAACCTTTGCCATACGATTAGCGATTTTATCTATTGGATATTTACATACATCGGAAACCTTTGCTGGGTTGCGAATACACTGTTGTAGTAGAAATAATTTCTATTATATTACTAATTTTTTACAACATTTTATGTAATATTAATTATTATTTATATTTCATATATTATTATTATTATTATTATTATTATTATTATACGTACTTTTTATTATTAGTATTCTTTACCCTTAGTACTGTCTTAAAATTCTCAAAGAAATAGTTCAGTAAGTTGGCGTCTTTTTCTGTAATAAAAAACTCAAAAAAGGTAATAACAGTTTGAATATGTTTTTAGAGATTACACCTATGTTAGTTATTAAAATGGATGTTCCGTTGGATAAAATAAATTGAAAAATAAATTGAATTCAATTAAATATTTCTTTTATTTATGTTCGTTTGCGATTTTATCACTACTCTAAAATTGCCTACTCTAAATTTCGGCGTAACAAAAGACCAATCTCCAAAACCCTGACTCAATAAAATATTATTATGTTACTTTGCGCTGTGAACACTAACCTACAAACAAGGAGACTGATTCAACAAATTATTGTATCTCAAAAATTAAAATTTTCAAACCGCGAACTTATTCTGCTTAAATCAAACATTTATTTTTTGAAAATATTAAAAAAATACCGACGAAGAGGGGGAAAGCCAAATGAGGAAATAAACGAGCAATGAAAAATACGAGACACATGAGATCTCAATTTTAACAGCGTGTTCGGACTTTGCTTCCAAAGCATAACATGTTTACCGACTGGTTGGTGAGGCATCTGGTGCTTGATTTCAATGAATGGACTTTGAACGAGTAACGCGAATTTATTTTTATTCTGACATTTACTATTGAGAACCATAATTTCATTTACTGAAAATGCAGAAAATTTCAATGAAAGTATTTAATATATTTCATAATTTTTAGGGTAGATCATTACATTTTAAAGATGGTATATTGATCAACCGCGGGGTACCACTTTCTGTTTCATTTTTGCCAAGAATATAATATTCAGTGAAGCAAACCTCTAAACGAGGAAATTTTTCTTCTCGATCCATTTGCACCGAAGGACGAGGAGGGGCTAAGATCGAAACATGTGGAATCGTATTTCCATTTGGCAATTAATAGGAAAGATAAGTCAATAATGATACTTCATTCCAGTATAGAGTGTATCCTGAGATCGATGTTTAGCATACGAAAATGTCTAATCTATGGTAACGAATTCCATACAAAGAGAATTTATAATCCAAAATGCCCTGGTAAATGATGTCAGATACTTTCGAAAGATTTAAAATTATGCTGATAGATGCTCCATTTTAATCCATTAATCAACGTCTTTAAGAAAGAAAAATATGGTTGTTTCTGTAAATTTTGATTATCTAAACTTATGTTGACTGTCTGAACACGTTTATTTCGTTACTTTCCGATAAGTAATTAGTAGTTCTCTGAAAATAAAACTGAAATTTCCTTATTCAGAAAAAGTTTGAGATTACATGAAATGTTTGCACTGGAATAGACTCGATATTTCTTTTATGTATCCCATTTTTAAATTCCATAGTTGGTCCAATTCCATAGTTGGTTTAAATTCCATAGTTGGACGCACCCGTGGCACTCCGTTCGATATCACGCTGGCTTAAGAGAACGTTATGGAACATAGTCAATGAAGGTGTCTGCAAAGGCTTCCTCGATAGATGCACCATGTGCCTAAGTCTAACGGCGCAAAGCAGCGTGCGCCTTCGCGGAGATATAGCGAGTAGATCAGGCTACATAGAGGTTGTGTCGTCCTCTCGGATCATGGGATTTTGATACCGATTTTGTTTTGCGGAAAAACGTTTGTGAACAAAGCTGAAGACTTACCTTAGATAAAACTTTCATTAAAATTAATAATCCCCGATTTCGCTGATGTCGGTTCTCGCCGATGATATTTTGATATCGAGATACTTCATACGAAGCCTCAACATTTTAAAAAAATTCTCAAAAATGGCTTAAAATGTTTTCAATTACTTTTTTCTCGGATAGAACAAATCAGCGTATAAAAACCAAATGTCTCATTATCGTTTGAATCTTTGGAAATTGCAGGAGTTTAAAGATTTATGTATGTATGTATGTATGTATGTATGTATGTATGTACGTACGTACGTATGTATTTGCCATTTTGGGGCCGGATTAACACTTTGGCCAGCTAGCCGTGTCTCCATCTTCATCGGATCCTGCATCGTCGTCTCCCGGAGTGCCGTTGCTGCGCAGAGCATCGCAGTCCTCCGTAATAGCACTGGCTTGCTCGTGGATGTCAACTTCGGGCTCGAATGGAGGCTGCTGAAGACTAACATGAATGAAACATTTATTATCGTTTATTGTATTTCGTCTATGCTATTTATTCTTCAGTATCCAAAGAAAAGCCTAATAAGTTAACGTAGCAAAGTAGTGTTGGGCGTTATAAATTTTTAATAATGTTTTTTTCCCCTTGGGAATTATAGTTTCTATCAGTTATTTCTCAATGTAAAAGTTACCAGCTGGGACTTCATAGAACAGTGAATAAGGAAGCCCATGAGAGAATAAAAACCCCTGAGATAGAATTGATTTTTTATATAAATGTGCTATCCAAAATATTTAATTTTGATGACTGAGCAATTAATTATCTATAAGTCAATTAGTAATAAGGAAATAATAATTATTACTTAAAAGGTAATTTAATATAAGAGAAGGAAGGGAAATATATACTATGCATCGCAATACTACGCAAATATTAAATGAAGCACGGATTATAGCACTTCTTTGCAATTGATCTGCCGGGGATGAAAATCTTAACGTTCCCCTACTTATTTTTTTGAATCTTATAGTTCGCCTGTAAGTAATTCTTTCCTGGACCCGTAGTACATAACGTAAATGAGGGTTGCATTTCAACTCGCAGCAAGGCGCGAAACTGTGATTATTGGATAATGGTGCCTGTACAGTTAAATTTATTGTAATTTTGTTATAATTTTTGTTTAATAATAGATTTCTTACGTAAATGAAGTATTCCATTTATAAATATTTAAATTTGATTATTGCCTGAATGTTTCAAACTATGATAAATTGTGAAAGAATTGAAGTCTCTCATTTGACTTCTTTAGTTCTTCATTCATTGCAAAAACATACGCGTCGGTATCGTAGAGGCTGTGAGTTCTGTAGTGTTTTTGTTCGGCATTTTTTAATTTTTACCCGTTTTTAGTGTTTATTTGATTTATCAAAACAACTAAGTTTACACTAAGTGCCTTACTAAAAGGTGAGAGTGAGCTGGTAAAGCTTGTTTCGCTCTTTTATGCCGTTTATTACATACTTGACATATGACGTTTTGGACAGCTAGTGACGCTAATGAACGCTGTATTTGTTTTCTTATCAATAGCCTGGCATTGAAACCTGAAGTCACCCTTTCTTTTAATTTTAACATATTTCAACAAACAAAACTGTAGTAGAGGGATCATTTAGAACATAAGCGAATTATTGTCATTGTGAGGTTAGGGTTGACGCAATATTATTCTGTCAAAACAGTAGTGATTGTAAAAGTTTCAGCCTGCAAACATTATTGTATTTAAGTCTTTAGAAATTCGTCTGTTGAAATACTTATATAATTTTATACTGATTTACTTTATAGATTCTCTGATCTAAAAAACATATGTTTACAGCTGTCATTGTTTCTTAGATATTAATTATTTATTTTGATGAAATAGAATCCTCTTGTATTTTAATTTTGTAAAGTGGTTTTGTGATGATTCTATCATTGTATTTTCTATTACATAAGCTCTGGTGTTTAATTTTGATTATTTTTGTTGCCAAAAGGTTTGCAGTATGGGTAAAGCTGAACAAAACTTTGAAGCCCAGCGTGAAGCAACGCTGGGCAGTCCACATGCAGAGGCCAGTCGCATGTTGGAAGCAGCATTGCAACAAATGGATGGAATTATTTCTGGTGGGTACCATTTAAGCTTACAATGTAAATAATAGAATTGTTTGTTTTGAGATGTTAAGTTATTGAATTTCTGTGTTATTTTAAGAAGGAAGATTTTGCAAAAAGAAATAAGAATTAACATTTCAGTTTTACTTGATGCTATGAAATAGTATTTCAAACAAAATACATACATTTTAAGCTTTTCTGACATAAATTGTAGTATGTTTTAGAAAACTGAATGTGTAAACATTTCGTTATTGCTGAAATGAAGAATAAAATTTCTGAGGAATGACAGTATTATAATGTTTTCTCTTAAAACTAATAAAAATATCTTGAGTTGACTTATTTTATGTATTGAGAGTTCTCTGTGAATTTCTGCTGTGTTATAATGGTATATTTTGCCATGTATTGTACTAAAGTAATCTGTTGTAAGTAACAGTGTGTAGCATACAGTTAGTACCATCAATATGTTAATACTGGTGAATTTTCACATTTAAATTTCTAAGGAAAACAAACATTACTTGTCTTAAGTGAGTGTAGAATGATATGAATAACACTTGATTTTAGCAATTATTTATGTAATTATAGGTACACACATATGTAGTTGTAGTGAATGTTAAACAATTAAAATACTGAAATCAATGAAGAAAACAATGCTTATTTACTTATCTTCAAATAGGTATGATCCTTTTACAAAAAAATATTAATAAAAAACAGAGAATTTGACAATAAAAATTACTTTCATGCGATCAGGCAATTATGTTGTTTCACTTGGTGTCGAGTTAATTATCGGAAGTTATTTGGTCATTGTCTGAAAATTTTCATGTAGTGATTACTTCTAATAAAAAAATGATATTTAGGATAAAGAAAACTGAATGATTTAATTCTTTATTCTCATAAATTATCTCTGAGTTGTAATTAATATTTTGAAATTAACAGATTACATGTGAGTAAACATCTTCGCAACTCTTTACTAATGGTGTTAATTTACTCTTTTAGCACATTGAAGAGTAGCACTTACGTGCAAAGATGAGATTTAATTTTTACGTAGTAGTTCACTTGTTCTTTCTGAAATGAACTCAATGTAAATTAGACAAAGATGAGCCCAATAATAATAAACTATTTTATTTTATTTAAACAATAATATTGTTTAGTATCTTATCTACAGTACATAAATGATATACAATATAATTACACATACATTTGTCATCTAACAATAATCTACGATGGCCCCCCATTATGATCGGCTGGATCAGTCCTTGATGAGGAGGACAATGCCTATGAAATTGTGTTATTGAATTTTAGTGTGATTGATAAAAGCAGCATCTTTAGAATTGTAAAAGAAGCATACAGAAATATCTATGAATATTGTATTCATTGAAATCTAAAATTAGACAATTATTTGTAATTTGTTAAAATCTATTGTTACAGTTTTTGAATATGTTTGTATGGTAAACAATTATAAATAAAATAATGTAAATGAAGTTCATATATTGTTTTCTGAGGAAGTACTTAATGCAGAAGAAGAAGATTGGAAAAGATATGTATTGAATTTTGAACTTCTATAGTTCACAGTTAAATTCCCATTACTGACATCTAGAACTAATAAAAGTAAAAATTATTTTCTACACCAATACTCTCCAGACTAATTCAAGTTAATTGGATTGACTGTATCAGTTGTTATTTGTTGAGAATGAGAGAAATATTTTCTCAAACCCCTCTTAGATTATTATTATTTTCTGGGGGGAAAATGGATTGATTGTCTAATTACAGTCAGTGCAAATGCAAAGTTATTTTTTTATTATTTGCGGAACAGGAATATATCTACATGTCAGAAATATTAGTAGTAACTCACATCTAGAGTGACTTTATTTAAATTACAAAGGTTATTCTTAAAAATATGGATGAAACACTTTACGTATGCAATGATTGATTCCCGAATAATTGAAAATTTAAGTTCATTTTATGTAGTGTTAGTTCAAGTTGAGGATGTTTTTATTGTTAGATACAGTTAACTTTTGGCCATTTTTACAATTACTTTTTTTCTTGGATTATTTACAATTGGTTCAAGTAAGGAACAAGTATAAAAGCTGAATTTGTAGTTTCTTATTATGATCAAAGTATTTAAAAATGAAATATTTGTATTGAAATAGTATTTTGCATTTAAGGTTATCACAATGAAGTGGATCTGTGCATTAATTTTTTTTATTTGAGAATTTGATCTGCACTTCCATTTGAATTTTTTTTTTATAAATCTGTTGTTCTTGGTGAATTTTTTTCTTATTAGCTAAAAAATATGTGTTCTTGTATTTTACTGTATTTGTGATGTTTGTTTCAAAAATTGTAGTGCATTTCCCATGCAATGATTTTGAAGAAAAAACATGAGGCAAATGGTAGATTTTAATTTTTGTTTTGCTAGAAATAATATTTGTATGTTGAAATTGGTTGCATGATAATGTTTTCTAATGTTTGGAATACCCTACAATCTTGCGTTAAGCTAAAAAAATGTATTCTTATGATCCACTGAGAGGATCATGAGAATATTTGTTGTTTTAGTGTGATTGTGTTAAAGAGTTCTCCTTGAATACATCATGTAGTTATCTTAGGTTTTCGTCTACCTATGTTTTAAAATTTTATTTATTGCATATCTGAATGTAAATATGCTTCCTCATAAGATTAGGTATTAACAAAGTCAAAAATATTTTTAAAAAAATTATTTTAATTATTTTATCTAATATGCCCATTTTCCATCCAAAAATCAGGGTATGATTTGTAACATTATAACTTATTAAGAGTTGAACATTTTTTGATGATTCCTCTTTAAGATTGTTAATTGGTTTATACTTTAGTGCATGCACCTAAATTTGAAAATTGATGGGGGACTTGCAAGTACTCTGAGATTTGAATTAGAACTTTTAGAAATCAGTTTTGATTAACAGAGAGATTTATTATTGCTATCATGCATTTTTTGAAACAATTTCAGGTTTAGGCACAAGAATTAACTTTTTGCTATTAAATAAAAAATTAGTCTTAAAGATATCTTCAAAATTATATGAGTTAGGAAGTTTCAAGTCAGGCCAAACCATAGAAAAAGTAACTTTAGGGAAAAGCCAGATTAAGATTCATTAGTTATAAAATGGCTTGGGATGATACTTTACACCTTCAACTTTGGTTTCCTTGTCTTCTTTCAGCTTTCTATGACCTTTCAAATATCTCCTCCTGCTTTTACTCTCAAGTGTGGTCTGTTTTTGAGCTATTTGATGTTTCCTTGTGTCACACATAGTCGTAACAATACTTTTGTGGCAGGTACGATGCATATCCTTTCAAATATTTGGGATGTGGCACAAGCATTCCCATTCTGAAAAGTACAAATAAATAAAATACTTACAAACATAGAAACAAACAGTTTTAAGCATTTAAAGGAACATGAAGGAGAAGCAGTGAAAAACTAAAGTTCAAATTTTTCAACAATAAATGTGTTTTTTTAGACTGAGAAGTACCTTAAGAGTTTAAAATGCTAAGAAAAAGATACAATCGTGCAATTGTTCAGAGATCAGTCGGTTATGATTTAATGTTCTTATCCACATTGTATAAGTTACCATAAGTATTCATATTTTACAAATTGTATATAATAAATCAATTATGAGAGATCATCTAAGAAATTAACCTTCATTGTCATCTTTAAGGAAATATATAACAAGTTCTTACATATCAAAGAGGAGGTCTGTAGTGTTTTGATATTTGGACCATGTTTTATGATCCAAGGTTGGCATGATCAAATCATATATCATATGAATATGTTCATTATGAGAGTGATAAGAAAGAAACATGAATATTTGTCAACTGCCACTGTGTCCATCAGTAGGTCTGAGAAGAAGCTTTAATTTCAATATTTAGAAATTGAATTTTGTCAATGAAGTAGTTGGGTAGATTTGATGTGAAGGATTAATTTATTTTTGATGGTCAATTTGTAGGCTACTGATATCTCATTTATTACTGCCTTTATGTATTAATTGCATTTTATAGATAATGTGAAGATAATTCTAACCATAAACATTGTCAATCCACAAACAGAAATTTATTTACCATCATTTTAAAGATGGAAATGATTTTTATACATGCTGTAGTACTTTGTATGGATGTGTGCTTACTTTGCAATAACTTGTGTACAGTAAAAAATATTTCTTTTATTTTGACATAAACAAATTGAAGAGCAAATGACATTAGTTGTGGACAGTGTAGCTATTTGAGGTAATAGCTGAATGTTTGACTGCCATAATGAAGTCAAAGAAAATAGTGGAATACATTTGTGAGAAAGGATATGTGGACAATATGCGAGTAAATGTTTCTACCAAATGAAGTTCTAAGCAATATTTTTTACTGTTGTCACACTCTTTCTGGATAACACATATTTAGAATTGCCAGTAAACGAAATTTCTAACTACTGCCAACTTCAATGATTATTTAATATTTGCAGTTGGTAAATTCATTATTTTTGAAATTTCTTCAGAAATAATGCCAAGAAATCATTGTTCTATTTCAGTGATTAATTAGAATATCAGTCATATACATAATACATTTGTTTACTTTCTAATTCATGCATGATATTCTTTACTTTGTTTCAACATTACTTTTCAATTAAAAAATTAGTCTGCATATATTTTGCCTTCATCTCCATTGAATTATGAAGTTAGGAAGATGATGGCGTACTCTTAAAAAAAGATTAATAATAATGATAATCATATTGTTCACATTCTGTTTTAAACAGTAATAGTTTTGAAAATATCCATTACTTATAAGTCTTGAATAAACAAGTCATCTCATGTGTGATGAGTGAAAATGAATTGTTATATATCAGAAAAGTTTGTGTGAAACAGAGCTATTTGTGATTTATAAGAAAAACTTATTTTAATTATTCAGACCATCAGTGAGATGATTTGACCAGTTTAATTTAAATCCTTGATAAGTTCAATAGAAATCCATTAGTCTACATAACAATATTTAAACAAGGTACTGCTTGTAAAAACAATATATTACATTAGTAAGTAGCTTTATATTAGTAAGGAGTTTGTTTTTTCTCTTTCATAAACCGATCTTTTGTCTTGTGACTTTTCCCACAGGCACTTGTGACCATTTATTAGTTTGTCATCATG